CTTCATATCTTATGCTTTTTTATGTTTTATATTATTCATTCATTAGTATATTAAAAAATTATCATTTTATGTTTACGCAATATTTTGATTTTGAGGCTTACGCCTCAAAATGCCTTGAGGCTTACGCCTCGCCTCACGAATGAAAAACGCCTCAATACCCGAATACGCAATTTTAAACATTGGAGCCAATTGCAATTACTTCAAGAATAAGGATCAGTTCAACATGTTCTGTTCAGTATTTCCACCTTCCACCAGAGCAGGTAACGACATAAGCACTATTCACGTGCATAAATGAATGTGTGTTTGCCGCTCCATCATGTATGATATTTTGGTCATACTGCCAAGGACGACCTAATAGCAAATGACATGCATCCTTGGGCACCATGTCACATAGGACTTTGTTCATCAAGATGATCAATTGAAAAATTAATTAAACACCTATTGTGAACCTCCACTTTATTTTTTTAATTTTTATTTTTATTCGGAATCTATCACAAAGTAAATGGACTAGGGATCAGAGTCGTCCAATTGGAGCTTCTCAACCATTGTGGTCGCTACAATATTCTCACAACTTCCACTATCGACGATAACGTTGTATACATGGTCTTTTATGGTACATCTAGTTCTGAAAATGTTATGATGGAGCCACACCTCTCCTTTGTGTGTATTTAAGATGTGTCTAAGAACCAATATCTTTCCTTCATCAGCATGTAAGTAAGTTGTTCCATCTTAGCTACCTCTTCGGTCTTTTCGTCAAGAGCATCATCCAATTCAGGTTCCTTGATGAAAGAGAAACCCGCCTATTTGGGTAATTTGAGGCATATGACCATACCATGGCATTTAAAATACTTTAGAGTAGCAACATGTGGCTTAGATGGACCACTATGCATACCTCCATTGGAATTAGTCTCCTATTATCTATTGTTAACGATTGTAGGCTTGGTCGACGGCATTGCCCCCTTCCATGCATTTGGTTCATTTCCTAAAACCTGCTAGCGGTTTTCTTGGATTGGACTTGTTGTTTTTCTACTTTAATTGCCAAATTGACTCATCCTGGAAGGTCCAATAGGAGTGGAATTGAACCACATTTTCTATTGCTGGTTGCAATCTTCCCAAGAAAAGAGCGATCTTGTTTACCTCCGATTCTATGAGATCACTTTTAAGCGAAAGTTGCTCAAATGCAACCAAATATTCTTCAATTGTGGATTGATTCTGCTGTAGCTATGTGAACTTCAAGAAGAACTTTTGTTGGTATTTCTCATGAAGATATTTCCGCTGCATTACTTTCTTCATTTTATCCTATGACACAATCTTGCTTCTTCCTTTCTGATTTCTAGTTCTTTTCATATTTTCCCACCATAAAGAAGCAATTTTCTTTAATTCGATTGCCACTATTTTGTCGATTCGATCAACGGGGACTTCTTTGAATCAAGAGTCCTTTCTATTGTGTGCAACCAAATAATAAATTCATCAGGATCAATCATACCAGGAAAATCTATTTTGATATCGCAATCTGTTGGATGTTTCCTGCCAATCCTTCCATGCAGTGGTCTACCCAATTCTTCATCACTAGAGTTTTCTCGATAAAATAGGTAGACATCCTCTTCCTCCTCTCGTCATCCCATGTGCTCTCTGATGTGAAACATATTTGGAAACAAGAATTGCTTAGGAATTAATAACAAGTTGTTAAGCTTTGCTAAATTTAAACTTAACGTTTCACCAAGATAAGAATCAAGGATTTCTTAGTTGCAGTTGTGCTTTGGTATGCAGTTACATGAAAGATTAACAGGACAATTTTAAAATACGAACAAAAATCATAGTAACACTAGATGCAAAAATAACAAAATCCATCATTTAACAAGTACAAAGTTCACATCGAGTTCCCCTCACTTTCACTCTTGATGATGGGGTTAGCTGGAGAATAATTTCAGCAAGCCTAGAGATGCCACTAAAAGAAAGAAAACACCTGCAGTCTTGTTCAACGAGAAGTTAGCCGGAGGGGAAGAAGTTGGTGGATGTCCGTTGATTCACCAATGTCTGGAGGGTTGTTCTTCAATAGCAGACGTCAAGGTGAAGAGGATGCAGTTGATGTAGTCGTCGATGGTGTCGTCGAACTCCAAGTTGAGGTTGAAGAAGGGAGACCGGAGAATATCCACTCGTCCTTGAGGATCATACACGAAGTCGTGGTCTCTTTCAGGATCGGCCATTCATGGAGGGGAGGCCGGCTGCTGGAATTTATTGTGGCTATTTCTTCATTTGAAATGATTTTCTAGTCCTGTTTATTATACCTTGCCTATTTCCTTAACAAGAGCAAAAAGGCTCTAGAAAAAAAATCTCATACACAGTGGAAGATTGAAAATAATGGGGTGGGTTTCGGTATTTAAGAAGCTAGAAGTGGTGAACTCCCTTATTTTATGCATGATTTGAAAATGTATTAATCTAATATTTATGAACAAAGTTTTGGTCTGCGGGATAGTTATTCCGTACACATTAAGGATTAGTTTGATTTCTCAGCAAAAAATTGAGATTGGCTGCAAACTTTTAGTCCCTCATCCTTAAATGTTCTATAATGTAAATCAATCAGTTTAAGCGACTCCCTTTAAGATATAGTTTAAATCTCTTGGGTAAAATAAAAATGGGTTTGTTTAGTTTGATATTTGTTATTGAGAAAGGATGTTGTGTATTCTTATAACTATATTATCTTTCAAATGTTGAGTGTTCGGTTCAATGCATTCTTAGTTTAAGAATGTTGTAATATCTAGAATGATTCATGATGATTGTTTTTTACCTTTTTTTTTTTTCATCAAGGTTGAGATGATTTAGATAACATCTTGTGTCATTGCTATAGAGAATGTTGTGATATCTAGAACGCTTTTGGTGGTTTGTTGCTTTGTTACTGTCTCTTCTTTGCATTTTCTTGCTTGTTTACATCTTATATTTTAGCTTATATGATGGAGGAATCAAATGGATATCGTTATGCAGAACAGTATTTAACATGTTGGTTGAGGTTTCATCAAGTATCATTTTCATAACATAGTTTTGTTCTTAGATTTATTTTAATTTGTTTTTTTTTTTTGAAGTAAAGCACTCATTAGTGATTTAATCTATTTACCGGATAAAAGAAACAAAGAAATAAAATTACAGGTGAAATTTTCACATTGATTTTGTATCAAAATATGGACACAAAATTCTGATGTGAGCTGAGAAGTTAATTTGAAGTTTAAAGAAGTTTTAGTGATAAAGTAAAAAACTAAAAGATTTGGAGTTTTTAACTGAGTGTACAGTTTATAGTTTAATCTCAAAATCTATATTTGACAACTATGTTGCCAGAAATTTATTTTGGGGCAATGATAGTACTTTTTACTTTATTAGCCTTGTCCAGCAGGCTCTAGTCAAATATATTTGTTATATTTATTGTGAATTCTGATGCTATGCCTTGATGATTACATGCATGAAATAAGGATCTTTTTGTTTGTTTCGAAGTTGGTGTTTTTAATCCCTGCTCTATATTTAAATAGGACCTCTTTTGGGCAGAATGTGCAATATATGGTTTAATCATGTTCGCCCATCAATCTGACCAATTTAAGCTGATTAGTTTAGTTAAAATTAGTTTGGTTATTTTTCTATCACAATCTTCAAATAAATTGATTTTTGGTGTGTTTTAATTAAAAATTTTGGCAAACCAAATTAATCAAACTAGTCATACAAGATGATTATGAAATATTAATGAGGTTAATGATCAGATCGTCATTGTTGATGTCTTCAAAACACCTCTTGCAATTGCTGAAGGCTGTTATTAGCATTTGGCACTCACTGCCATTGGTTTCATGCATGCATGAAGCTAAAGCCTGATGATGACCAACATTCATGAACAATTTCCGTGTTCATTGACCAACGAATGTAGCTAACGTTTTGCCTCTTTATGCTTCTTGCTTTATAATAGAAGATTAAGGAACTTTTGGGTTGACTCAAAATTTGATTTAGAGATTCGAATCAATTTATTTACCAATCCATCTGGATTTATCCAATTGCCAAACATTTACCTGATTCTTCAGTTTCTTCTCAATTAGATTAGTTACCAACCAAGGTGGGCTGGAGCTCCTAAGTATTAACTACTAAGGTTGAATGATAAAAAAAGAAGGGATTATTAGTAGAAAGGGCTTGATATTGACCCATAAAAGTATCATGCGAGAGTGATATCAAATTCTCAAGATTCTTGTGTGTGTATTTACAATCTCTAAACCGTTTCATGTGAGAGCTCTACATCGATAATCACTTCATTTCTGATTAGAAATTTTCTTAGAAATAGTCGAATGTTCTTCCCCAAAGATATTAAATAGCATGTTTTGCGGTCTGTTCCATTGTTAATTAAATGCTGTTTAATTGAATAATTTCTTGTTTGTGTCACAATCATGGAAAACATTTAGGTTTCATTTGGGACAGTTTTCCTACTGCTTTTTAAAATGGCTTTTTAGTACAAAAATTTCAAATTAAAAAAAACTTGTGTACTAAAAAGCTGTTTTAGAAGGCACGAAGAAAGCCATCCCAAACGAAGCCTTAGTGACTCGAGCCAAATAAACTAACCCTTGGTAGACCAAAGTCGGATTAAGCTGGATCTATATACACCCTATGGTTTTTTATTTTTATTTTTGTATTCAGCTACAGTTAAATTTGTTGTTTAATACATAAGTGTTTGCTAGTAAGTGAAGGCAAAATCTGTTATATCTACACCAACTACTTTTGTAATCGTATTATAGGCAATTTTCTTATGTCTAAACTAACTCACGATGCCAATTGGGTACTTTTGTGATTCATAGCAAAACTCAGTGAATTTTTGTGCCCGTGTTTGGTACCAATTTTTGATTTCGTTTGGGACAGCTTTCTTACACAGGTGGTCCCAAACGAAACCTTTGTCTCTGAATTCCTTAACTGCTTTATCACAGTTTTAGCCCATGCTGAAGTAGACATTCTTACAAGACAAACTTTTATACCCTGCGCAGCTTGAAAGGGGGCAACTCCTCAGAGTTCCAGCATATTTGGTGAAGCGTCGCAAGCAGCATTTCCATGATCTTGAACAGTACGGCGTTGATTTGATACTTGGTTGCAATGGATTCATTTGGGTAGGCGAGCACGTCGTACCAGCCGATAACGAAATGGTGGAAGATCAAGAAAGCACGCTGAAAGACAAAGAGCAGAGTTACACTCCACTTGAAATCCGACAAAATATTTGCCGGATTGCCAATTCTGTCCGTTTGATCTCAGCCCTGGGCTTCGCCATATCTGTGGATGCTATTATAGACACAGCTGAAGCAAGCAAGTCTTCAAATATAGACATAAAGGACATGCTTGGTGCAGAGTTTTATGTGCAGACTGCTGAAAGAGAGGTGCAGAAGAGGATTTCTCTTTTGAAGAAGAAGAGGGGTTGATTTACGCTATGAGAATTTCTTTTATGAATCATTTTTTTCTGTTAGTTTGGGGCCAGACTTACAAATGGGGGCATCATTGTAATATTAGTATCACAAAATTAATGAAGTCTTTTTTTTTTTTTTTTGTCTGAGAGTTGTATTAACCTGTTGTTCTAATCTTTTCTTCTAATTAAGAAGATCAAGACAGCTTCCTTGTGGACTTCACCAACTTGTAAGATCTTGTATTAACCTGTTGGATTCTAATTAAATGAAGACATGTAGCTCTAGCATGGCCTGATGATCCAGTCCTATTATACATATACTGCGTATAAGTTGTACACAGTGTACAGGTTGTACACGGTGTGGGTATAAATCTGTACACAATGTACAAATTTGTACATATTATGTATAAGTTATACACATTGTGTGTACAGAAAGAATTTATACACACTTTGGACCAAGGCCAAGTCATCGGATCACGCTAAAAAAAATTGTCTTCATTTAATTGAAAGTCTGGACGTAGAATTGTCTGGACTTCGCACTTAATAATTTATCCATTTTTTTTAGATAGTATTTCGGATATTTTCATCTCATGCTCAAGGAAACCTCCGGCAGTATTAGACATTTATGCGTGCAAGACTTTTAATAATAGCCATTTACTCAACAATAGAACATCATATAGTTCTTGAATGTCATTAAGGAATAATTATGATGAACTATAAAACAAATATAAGAGGTTAGGTCTTACAAAAAAGAAAATTAAATTTATATGATTTAATTCAAGTAAGCTTATATTTACAAGAGATGATGGATAATAGGATTCACTGATAGGCATATTGGACAATACATTGCCTAAACATGAGCTAGACTTCTCTTAGACAATTAGACTTCATTTGGGATAGTTTTTCTAACATTTTATAAAACAATTTTTTAGTACAAGAATTTCTTAAATTAAAAAAAAAATTGTACAAAAAAATTTCTTTAGAAAACAGTAAGAAAACTTACCTCATTATTTTTAATTCATGCTTGAATATTGGATATATCTAATAAATAACGTAACACAAACTAGGTACCTATTTTATCATTTGATTCATGTATGAATATTTAGTCAATACCTAATAAAATTCCATGTGATGCATTATTATGAAAAAACCAATTTCTCCTCCATGACTCCACCCCAAGTCGAGCACTTTAAGCTCCCACAACCTCAAAATGATCAATATTGCGTAATCTCATTAGGCTTCCATTCCTTTCAATCTGAGTACTTATGAGAGATTTTTGTAGCGCAAATAATACACTTTTTAGTATTACTGCATTTAAATGTGCATCCATCATTACATTTTTGTGCTATTGAATTGTCCATCTCCTTTATAAGAATGCAACAATAGTATGATATGGCATCAAGAAAAATCATACATCATAATAATATTGACAAGTCTAAATATATTTAGAATTCTTCACTTAATATATGCCTCTTTTTGTTTTGGAGCTTCTCCTAATGATGCTTCACCATAGCTGATAAAATCAAAGCAAGTCTATTCAAAGTTTCACCCTAGCTATAACATATAAAGTCCATTAGCTCTTTTTATATGTAAGAAAATCAATGCACCCCTCCTAATCAATAAGGATTTATCATCTACCAACATTTTATATCGTGCATCATTGAGAGCACTTAAATATATCAAATGCTTTCTCATTTTTAATGCATAAGTACTATCTCCAACCAATATATTAATCACACCGTTATGCACCTTCAACTTCATTGAGCTAATTGTTGGATCCGAATTTATCCTTAGATGACACTTAACCAGCAAACTAATAGGTAATCTTGAAAGTTTAGAGATTTGAGTGGAGCTTAGATGAGTATGGAGAGCGAGAGCTTTATGTGTCTTGAGAGAGAATAATGTGGAAACTAAGCAAAGCAGGAAAATAAGGAGATCTACAATCTCAAAGATTAGAAAGCTCCATAGAATTCAAAAGTCGAAAAGTAAAAAAAATTCAAAAAGACACATCTTCTTCATTTATCATTAGGGTTTAGAATGCGCTAGATGGAAGGCTATAAGAATAAAATAATAATAAGAAATACAATGTGTGACATTAGTTATTACAAGCTATCGCATGGATCTTTGCATATAACCATACCCGTGATTTCAGGGCGAGTCTTTTGTATGAGTCTTCAAAGGTGTGAGAGCATTAGGCAAGTCCTCATAGCCTTGTAAATAGCGCAATTCTATATAGGTGAATCCTTTAATGTGATGGTAAGTCTGTTGGGACAACATTTAGACCTTGGAAAGCAAAAGGACGAGTTCTCTTAGGTGAAAAAGGTCGCGACCATAATCTCTTCGTGACTAATAGATTGTATATATATACACATACGCACGCACACTCACCCCTCATATATAATTTAATTAACAGAACTAGTGGTAGATCCTTTCTGAAAGATATCTTACCTTAAATAATAATCACTTATTATATCATAATTCCTCATTTATAAAGCAAAAGACCTTAATAAGTTATTAAATAAGCCCAATTACATGATCTAATTACCATATACACCAACATAGGGCAACAACACAGATCCTAACCAGAGCGTCCCGTTCCTCTCCTCTACCTCACTCAATGGACTCATAACCGTCCCATCCAACACCTTCAGAACCTTCCCCTTGTTACTCAGCTTCACCGCCGCCGGCGCCATTACGACACCACCACCGAGCCTTATCTTCTCCCTGTTGATTGCCACCCAGAACTCTCCATCTGCATTCCTCTTTATGTTATCAGGGTAGCCCGGAAGCTCCGCAAATGGCTCAAATTGGCCGCCTTTGGGGCCCTGCAGCCAGTATCTTGAGATCAAGCAGTTGGTTGTTCCGGCAACGACGACGAAGGACCTGTCGTGGCTGATGGCAACACCGTTTGGAAATGCCAGGCCGCTGACGAGGATCGTCACTTTCTGTGTCTCTGGATCGTATTTCATGAACCGGCCGGTGGAGTCGCCGGTGGCCACCACCACCTCATTCTCCCTGCAGAGCGTTGATCATATATATTTATGATCAAAGAGATAGAGCTGGTCTTAAAATAAAAATAGATTTCACTCAAAATATAATTTTATTAACCACACAACCATAGGCCTATCCACAAGAAAAATTGCTACGTTTATATTTTGAAGTACTGCAGCATAATAATAGATGCGTCCTGGAATATTCGCGGCAGTAGAGAAATATATAGTTTAACGTCTTAGCATTGTACTTTGCCTCGAGATTCGTGCCCGATCAAGTTAATTTTCGCATGACGTATCAATAATTAATATCAAGTCATCAGTACTTTTTTGGGGACATTTAGGATTCATTTGGGATAGCTTTTTTATTACTACTTAAAGAGGCTTTAGTTTGTGATAACTTTCTTATTACTTCTTAAAGCGCTTTAGTTTTTGTACTAGAAAGCCGCTTTGAGATGCATTAAGAAAGCAATATCAAACGAAGCCTTAGGCCAATTAAGGCTTCGTTTGAGACTATTTTTTTACTGCTTCTTAAAGTAATTTTTTAATTAATTTTTGTACAAGAAAGCTACTTTAATTATTAAGAAAGTTGTGTGTGTGATATGTGTGTGAGTTTGCCTTAAAGGCTCAAATATTCCAAAAAAATTAAAAAGAGTCGAATCAATACCTCTTAATTGTAGCTAAAGCTCCTAAATAATGATTAATTATTATGTCTGGATGTCGAACGTTGTCCGGAGACCAATCAGAATGCACCACGTCACCCTTGTGCTCAGTACTACGGCTTGGTACCCCTCGATACCGCGGCTCGGTACTGCTGCTGTGGTGCATTTTGATTGGTCTATGAATGACATTCTGCTTCTTTCTAATAAATAACAGCAAAGTGAGCTGCCTAGCAGTACTTATTTCAATTAAATAACATAAAGCTACTTATGGTGTTCCACTGAACAAAATTCATAAATGACATAAATGCTGCTTGTCATAGACACTAGATCGAGTAATTGGGACTTCAATACTTCATAGAAAAAAAAGGTAATTTCTGTCTGCATTAATCTTTTAAGTAATATTTACTCAATACCTTTGAACGACATTACTGGTCAGCTTTTTTTTTTTCATATAAACATTGATGGATTTCATAAAATTATTTTAAGAAATTCTCCTTTAAAATTAAGAAAATATATAGGATTTATTTAAAAATATATATTTTCCAAACAAATTTTAAACAATTGAAGGAATAATTATTACCACTGCTTTGTTTGAAAGAGCTTTAATAGTGCTTTCTATGCAACTTTAAAGTGCACAATTTTTTTTTTTTTTTAGATATTTAGTCAATTAAGATAAATTCACATACTATCACATACTTAAGATTCGAACCCAAGACATCTTAATTGATAACCAAAACTCTTAACCAACATACAAGGATGAATATTAATTATTATGTGCGAAAATAGAAGCCGTCAGGAGGCAAATCAGAGCAAGCCACATCACCCCTTTGTGTTGTATAGCGGCTATGTACCCACTGTGTATCAAGTGACGTGGCGCGCTTTGATTCACCTCCTAATGATCTGGTGTTCACACAGAATAATTTCTCCAAGATGTGCTACCTAAGAAAAAATAAAATAGTTGTAAAAAATATCTCAAATAAACCCTAAATTAATAATTCTATCTTTTAATGAAGTTAACATCATCTCAATATAGAGTTATATTATTTATTTAAAAGAATAAAATAATATATATGTATATTATCAGTCATCATAAATTTTGAATAATTAAAATTTAAAATAATAAATATGTAAATCAGTTAATTTTAAATTTGTAAATGATATATATTAGATTAAAACTTAATGTAGGAAAAAAAAAACGATGGGACAACATTAATCATTATTTATAAAATAATTTAGGAAACATTAAAATGTCTTAATTTAAACAATTCTATAACAATAATAATAATAATAATAATAATAATAATAATAATAATAATACTTATGATAATTTAAGAATGGTCTCACCATCTTTGAAAGCGAGAACTGCTGTCGGTGAAATAAACCACACCAGTTTCCTGATCCACATCAACCCCATTGGTGAACTTGAACGGAACGCCGCCGGCCTCCGTCGCCAGTTGTCGCGCCGATCCACCCTCCGGCGAGACCACCATAAGCCCGAAATAAGCGTCGGCGATGTACAGCTCTCCCGTCTTCTTGTTGAACTGTAAGCCCAGCGGCCGCCCGCACTTCTCCTCCATATGAATCTCTTCACCATCACAGAGCTCTTCAGACCTAGAAATTAAATTACCTCCATTTGATTCTCTTTTACCGAACGGGAAAAAATTGCTTGGGAATATTTTAAGGAAAAAATGCTCCTTCACCATTGAGAGGGGAAGGCGAAGCTCTGCCATCCGCTGTTGTGCCCTCCCCACTTGATTATGCGACCGTCGGAAACTCCTGTATACGGTCCCTCGCCGCGGCTGTCAAAGGCGATGCTCTCTGGGCCTACTGCGGTGTCGATCATCAGCATTTTGAGATCGGCGTTCACGGTCTGAGCGGCGGCGGTGGATGAGAGGACGACGGCGAACACGAGAAGAAGTAGGAGGGTGACCATTTTTCCGGAATTAATTGATGTGAAGGAAGAGCTCAGCGCGTGATGTATATATAAAGATATAATAGTTATTGATGTCTTTGTATGAGATGATTAATGCGACCCGAATGACTATTAATTAATTAAGTAATAAGTATGCATGTCCGTCCACATCAGGGGTGCAAATGAGTCCAGTTAAGCTCGAGTCATGTCTAACTCGAGCTCGGCTCGTGCAATTGAAATGAGCTCACGAGCAGCTCGTGAGCTTCCGCGATCTGCCTTTTGCACGTTGTTCGTCTTCCGCCAGTTCACCTACCGTGTTTCTCTTTCTGCGCACACACTTCACCTTCCACGTTTCACCAGTTCTCATGTGGTTGCCCTTCCATGCTTTACCAGTTCGCACATGTTTTGCCTTCCGCAGTTTGCCATTTCGCAAGCAGATGTTGTTGACCAGTTCATATGTGGACGTAGTTCACCTTATGTGGTCCGGCGTCCGCACGTGCTTAATTGAGTAGCTTGACTAGTAAACAAACCAGTCGTCAATTCGATCAAACAATAGCTCAATTTCGCAGCAAGCATGAAAATCCGCTCGAGTTAGAAATTTGATAAGCTTGATTCACGAGCTCATTGATGAGTTGAGCTCGAACTGGGCAAGGAGTTGGCTTAACTAGTTTAAACCACTGGTCCACATCCATCCATCACTAAAAATTAGTGCGGTTAATTTTGAAAATTCAAATGAAACATCGCTTCTCATCATTCATTTACTCTTTTTATTTGATTTTATTTTTCGAATGGTGTGATAAATTTGAGGTATCTGATTTGAAATCTGAATTTCGATGATAATTTGATACCACCGTTCAGCATTCCTTCAATAAATGGCTTCAAATATGGGTTAAATTTTTAAAAAGAGCATATTACTAATTAAATTTAGGTAGAGGAGCTGACTTAGAACTTATTTAAAAAAAAGTGTAAAATCGGAATTTCATTTTTTGGGTTTTAAGAAATCACGGTTTACTGAAACCGTGAAATTATTTTCCGATTTCTTGGAAACCGGGAAACGATATCATTTAGCAATAATATATATTAGTTACTCTTAACTTATATTAATTTAATCCTAATACAAATATTCAAAAATATTAAGAAAAAAATATCAAAAGAAGTGCACTACAGGAAAATTAAATATTACCAACAGATTTTTCGGCCAAAAATTTTAAGTTTTCGGACAACAATTTTTCGTTGGTAAAACGATCATCACAAAAAAAATTTCATTGAAAAAAATTTCGGGCAAAATTTAGAATTTCTCCAGTGAAAAAAATCACCGGAATAAGCCCATTGAAGCAAACAGTTGCCCCCTTGCCCGAGCTGCCTGAACGTTTGATCGCCAGCCCGCCAGACAAAACCTGGCTGCCTGCCCGCCTGCATTGTGACACTCGTGGGAATATGGCACATGTATGTGGGATTTCAAGTACTCAAGCACTTTGCTGTGGAAGAAAATGCTTGTCTACTTTTTTAAAAGTCATTACAATCCATCGGAAAATTATCCAGAACGCCATCGGAAAATCCATCGAAAAAGTTGCTTGAAAATTAGTCGGAACTATTTCATCGAAATCCGTTGAAAAATTTGCCGAAAAAAAGTCTGACGGAAATCGACAGGAAAATTAGCTGGTAATGAATGATTTTTCTATAATGAATACTGTTGGATCCTTTACTTTATCATGTTCTTCATGTATCCTTCTCCAGTATCATATATTTCATTATTATAAGGAATTTACTTGTACAATAATTCTTGAGCTAGGTGATAAGCATGTATGCTTTACTCGCACTATTTAAAAAAAAAAATAGTTCTAAGTTAGAGGAGCAAATTTAAACGTTTTTTTAACGATGTTTCTTAAGAAACTAAAAAAACATTTCACCGCTTCAGTAAACTGTAAATTTATTTTCTGATTTCTTAAAACTCTTAAAATAGAATTCCGGCTCCGATCCTTTCTAAATTAAAGTCTAAATTAGCTCGTTTTCCTAAATCGAATTAGTAATCAACTCCTTTTAAAAATTTGGCCTTAAATATGTACTACTTTTTGAAATATTGTTTATTAAATTTTTAGTTTTAATAGTGATATATTTTATAATTATTTGAATAGTTTAAATATGCAAATCTATTATTGACTTATAATAACATAGAGAAAGTTTATAACACATAGAATATTAAATAAAATAATAGAAGGATACAAAATAAGTCTAACATAACCAATTGAGTAATCATCAAATGTACATTTTATGGAGCGTTTAGTGTGAAGGATATATATTTGATAATTATATAACTTAGGCTTCGTTCGAGAGAGTTTTCTCATTATTTTTTAAAATAATTTTTTAGTACAAAAATTTTTTGAACTAGAAATTTTTGTACTAAAAAGCTGTTTTAGAAAGAATAAGAAGTATGTCCCAAATGAAACCTTAATTTTAACAAATACGTTCTTTTCAAAAATTGAAGTTAAGATCATTCTATGGTTTTATTGATGTTGATTGGGCAAGTGATTCTTCTGATCAACAGTCTATGATTGGCTATCATGTATTTCTAGGCTCGACTTTGATTTTATGATATTTAAAGACATAATCTATAGTTGTGTCGTGACATATTGAGATAGAATATGACGTAGTCACAAGGAAATCCACATATTGTATTTGACTTAGTAGATTAAGGCTTCATTTCGAGCAACTTTTGGCTATAAATTTTTCACTGCTTTAAAAAAATTTTCTACTAAAAAATTGCTTAGAAAAGTTGTAATTTTTTTTTCAAAGATATTATCTAATTGCACGGTGTGCAGAAGATCATTGTCTCTAATCGTGATGACAGGTTTACCTCCAGATTATGGAGAGATATTCAGCAGGGATTAGGTATGAAATTACACTTCAGTGCGATTTTTTATCTGCAGACAAATGGTCGGTCCGAAAGGACTATTCATGTACTGAAGAATCTTTTGAGACTTGATGTTCTGGATTTTAAGGGTAGTTGAAAAGATCATATCCCGTTGATAGAGTTTATATATAATAACAGGTATCCGTCCATTATAGATATGTCTAGCTCCTTAATAAGCTTAGTACAGTAGGAAGTGTATGACTCATTTAACTTTGATAGAGGTGGGAGATAGACATGCGATATGATCAACCTTTGTGGATAACACTACTACAAAGATCCATTTGATCAGAGAAATGTTAAAATTTGCATATGATAGATAGAAGAAATATTGTGATCTTAAACATAGGTTGATTGAGTTTCAGATTGGCGACTTTGTTTATATCAAAGTTAGCCCTATGAAAGATGTCAGCAGATTTGGGAGAATTAGCAAGCTAAGTCTAATGTACTTTAAACCTTTTGAGATCATTAAGAGGATTGGTAGTTCTACTTATAGATTATTATTGCTTGATTATATTTCTAATATGCATATGTGTTCTATGTCTTCTAAAAGAAAGTAGATATTGATTTTGGAAAGATATTATTTGCTAAGCATATTGAGGTTCATCCAAATCTATACTATAGGGAAGAACCCAATAGGATTTTGACATATAATGTGAGAAAATTGAGAAGCAAATATATTCCTATAGTCAAGGTGCAGTGGATGAACATGTCCACTAGAGAGGCTAATTGGGTGAAGGAATTGAGGTGAGAAAGTTGTATCCATGTTTATTTAAACTTATTTTGATTTGAAAATGTCAATGATGATATTTTTGAAGGTGGATAGATTATAAAAATTCTTAATTTTTTTAATAATTTTTTTTATCTATAACAATCAATAATTATTTTAGGAGTCATTAGAAATCCAAATTATAAACTGTCTTCGTCATAGCATAAATATTTATTGTATTTTAGTTTCAATAATTTTTTTTATAATTTTTAGTCACTAGTGAAATTTTCTTAGAAATTGACACTTATCAATATAACTAAAATTTTAGAATCGTTAGACATCCATTTTATAAACCGATTTCTCCATAATATTTTGGGCATACTTAATTAATATATGAATATTTTTGTATAATTTTTTAATCTATAAATTTTAAGCTATAAAAAGATTTTGGATTAAAAGTTGATTAAGTCATTTTAATATTTTATTATTAAAAAAATCATAATCCATTATCATGTGTTATTAAAATTTTACTCACACTATTCAATATTTTTTCTTAAGAATCCAACAGAGGAAAAAGAAGAAGGAAATGAGAGAGAAAAGAGAAAATATAAATTCAATTTTGGGTGACTTTGACTCATTTTTGTCCGTAAGCCCTGTTGAAAAACTTATTTGTCTCGAGATATATCACAAGAAATTATCTAAACTTTGAAAAAGTGTTGTAGTATGATAAAAGTTTTAAATATTATTTTACACAATCCCTGATAATTTGATTATTTTCTGAAAAATGTGTGTTTTTGCTTATATGATTTTCTTTTATTTTCCATTATAAAAATTTATGCAGTTTTGACACATGCTCAATTGTGCTTCAATTTCTATAATATGAATAAGAATGTGCATATGTGATAAAATTATATCTACTCGGAGTGATAAGTGGCAAGAATCATTTGAGATTCTATCTGTGTTAGAAAATATTTTGGTCTATAAGATATATTTTGGTGCTATAAGCATAAAAGAGAGTCATAAGGGGTTAGACTCCCTATGACTAATAGCAAAGTTATTATGAAAAAATTAACTTAGCTATTCTGATTATAAAAACAGCTTTTCACTATAGTAAATTTTTATTATATTAAGGCTATAACTTTTTTGTACTTAAAATTTTGATTTAGAAAGGAGTAAGAAAGCTATTAAAAACGAAACCTAAGCACGCTGTCTCACATATTATTTGGAAATTATGCAATATAAGTTATTATTTGAAAATTAATAAACTATATCTACCCAACAAGACTCCATAGGTTAACTTTTATTTTGAATTTTATGTATAAAAACCTATATCTCCTACATATTATCTCTATCATCACTACTTTTGCAGCATGAAACATTATCTACATCATATTAGAGAAGAAG